TATTAAAGATGAGGAAATTGAGTGTAGAATAGACTGCACTAGAGATAGTTTGAAATTGTAAAATGATGAAAACTTGCTTTGGTGTTAGTATTAAAGATGAGGAAATTGAGTGTAGAATAGACTGCACTAGAGATAATTTGAACTGTAAAATGATGAAACCTTGCTTTGGTGTTAGTATTAAAGATGAGGAAATTGAGTGTAGAATAGACTGCACTAGAGGTAGTTTGAACTGTAAAATGATGAAACATTGCTTTGGTGTTAGTATTAAAGATAAAGAAATTGAGTGTAGAATAGACTGCACTAAGAGGTAGTTTGAACTGTAAAATGATGAAACATTGCTTTGGTGTTAGTATTAAAGATAAAAGAAATTGAGTATAGAATAGACTGCACTAGAGTAGTTTGAACTGTAAAATGATGAAAACATTGCTTTGGTGTTAGTATTAAAGATAAGGAAATTGATAGACTGCACTAGAAGGTAGTTTGAACTGTAAATGATGAAACCTTGCTTTGGTGTTAGTATTAAAGATAAAAATTGAGTGTAGAATAGACTGAGTGTAAAATGATAGAATAGTTACTAATGAAAGATTAAAGTAATTGAACAGTGTAGAATAGACTGCACTAGAGGTAGTTTGAACTGTAAAATGATGAAACCTTGCTTTGGTGTTAGTATTAAAGATAAAGAAATTGAGTGTAGAATAGACTGCACTACAGGTAGTTTGAACTGTAAAATGATGAAACATTGCTTTGGTGTTAGTATTAAAGATAAAGAAATTGAGTGTAGAATAGACTGCACTAGAGGTAGTTTGAACTGTAAAATGATGAAACCTTGCTTTGGTGTTAGTATTAAAGATAAGGAAATTGAGTGTAGAATAGACTGCACTAAAGGTAGTTTGAACTGTAAAATGATGAAACCTTGCTTTGGTGTTAGTATTAAAGATAAAGTAATTGAGTGTAGAATAGACTGCACTAGAGGTAGTTTGAAAATAAATTGAGTGTAGAATAGACTGTAAAATGATGAAACATTGCTTTGGTGTTAGTATTAAAGATAAATAAATTGAGTGTAGAATAGACTGCACTAGAGGTAGTTTGAACTGTAAAATGATGAAACCTTGCTTTGGTGTTAGTATTAAAGATAAAAAGAAATTGAGTGTAGAATAGACTGCACTAATAGAGTAGTTTGAACTGTAAAATGATGAAACCTTGCTTTGGTGTTAGTATTAAAGATAAAGAATTGAGTGTAGAATAGACTGCACTAAAGGTAGTTTGAACTGTAAAATGATGAAACCTTGCTTTTGGTGTTAGTATTAAAGATAAGGAAATTGAGTGTAGAATAGACTGCACTAGAAGGTAGTTTGAACTGTAAAATGATGAAACCTTGCTTTGGTGTTAGTATTAAAGATAAAAGAAATTGAGTGCACTAGAGGTAGTTTGAACTGTAAAATGATGAAACCTGTTGAAAAGATAGACTGCACTAGAGGTAGTTTGAACTGTAAAATGATGAAACCTTGCTTTGGTGTTAGTATTAAAAGATAAAGAAATTGAGGTAGAATAGACTGCACTAGAGGTAGTTTGAACTGTAAAATGATGAAACCTTGCTTTGGTGTTAGTATTAAAAGATAAAGAAATTGAGTGTAGAATAGACTGCACTAGAGGTAGTTTGAACTGTAAAATGATGAAACCGTTTTGTTTAGTATTAAAAGATAAAAGAAATTTGAGTGTAGAATAGACTGCACTAGAGGTAGTTTGAACTGTAAAATGATGAAACCTTGCTTTGGTGTTAGTATTAAAGATAAAGAAATTGAGTGTAGAATAGACTGCACTAGAGGTAGTTGAACTGTAAATGATGAAACCTTGCTTTGGTGTTAGTATTAAAAGATAAAGAAATTGAGTGTAGAATAGACTGCACTAGAGGGTAGTTTGAACTGTAAAATGATGAAAACCTAGCTTTTGGTGTTAGTATTAAAGATAAGGAAATTGAGTGTAGAATAGACTGCACTAGAGGTAGTTTGAACTGTAAAATGATGAAACCTTTTTTTGGTGTTAGTATTAAAGATAAAGAAATTGAGTGTAGAATAGACTGCACTAGAGTAGTTTGAACTGTAAAATGATGAAACCTTGCTTTTGGTGTTAGTATTAAAAGATAAAGAAATTGAGTGTAGAATAGACTGCACTAGAGGTAGTTTGAACTGTAAAATGATGAAACCTTGCTTTGGTGTTAGTATTAAAGATAAGGAAATTGAGTGTAGAATAGACTGCACTAGAGAGTTTGAACTGTAAAATTGAATAAAAATGACTGAAACCTTGATGAAACCTTGGTGTTAGTATTAAGATAATGAAATTGAGGTAGAATAGACTGCACTAGAGGTAGTTTGAATCCAAATGATGGAAACCTTTTTTGTGTTAGTATTAAAGATGAGGAAATTAGTGTAGAATAGACCGCACTAGAGGTAGTTTGAACTGTAAAAATGATGAAACCTTGCTTTGGTGTTAGTATTAAAGATGTGGAAATTAAAGAATAAACTGCACTAGAGATAGTTTGAACTGTAAAATGATGAAACCTTGAACTGTTAGTATTAAAGATAAGGAAATTGAGTGGAATAGACTTTTTTCTGAACTGTAAAATGATGAAACCCGCTTTTGGTGTTAGTATTAAAGATGAAAGTAATTGAGTGTAGAATAGACTGCACTAGAGGTAGTTTGAACTGTAAAATGAAGAAACTTGCTTTGGTGTTAAATTAAAGATGAAAGAAATTGAGTGTAGAATAGACTGCACTAGAGGTAGTTTGAACTGTAAAATGATGAAAACCTTGCTTTGGTGTTAGTATTAAAAGATAAAGAAATTGAGGTGTAGAATAGACTGCACTAGAGGTAGTTTGAACTGTAAAATGATGAAACCTTGCTTTGGTGTTAGTATTAAAGATAAAGAAATTGAGTGTAGAATAGACTGCACTAGAGGTAGTTTGAACTGTAAAATGATGAAACCTTGCTTTGGTGTTAGTATTAAAGATGAAAAATTGAGTGTAGAATAGACTGCACTAGAGATAATTTGAACTGTAAAATGATGAAACCTTGCTTGGTGTTAGTATTAAAGATGAGGAAATTGAGTGTAGAACTGCACTAAGATAGTTTGAACTGTAAAATGATGAAACCTTGCTTTGGTGTTAGTATTAAAGATAAAGGAAATTGAGTGTAGAATAGACTGCACTAGAGGTAGTTTGAACTGTAAAATGATGAAACCTTGCTTTGGGGTTAGTATTAAAGATAAAAAATTAGTGTAGAATAGACTGAACTAGAGGTAGTTGAACTGTGATGAAACCTTGCTTGGTGTTAGTATTAAAGATGAGAAATTGAGTGTAGAATAGACTGCACTAGAGGTAGTTTGAACTGTAAAATGATGAAACCTTGCTTTGGTGTTAGTATTAAAGATGAGAAATTGAGTGTAGAATAGACTGCACTAGAGGTAGTTTGAACTGTAAAATGATGAAACCTTGCTTTGGTGTTAGTATTAAAGATAAAGAAATTGAGTGTGAATAGACTGCACTAGAGGTAGTTTGAACTGTAAAATGATGACTTGCTTTGGTGTTAGTATTAAAATGATAAAAATTGAAATGACTGCAAAGTGAGTTTGAACTGTAAAATGATGAAACCTTGCTTTGGTGTTAGTATTAAAGATGAGAAATTGAGTGTAGAATAGACTGCACTAGAGATAGTTTGAACTGTAAAATGATGAAACCTTGCTTTGGTGTTAGTATTAAAGATGAGGAAATTGAGTGTAGAAAGACTGCACTAGAGGTAGTTTGAACTGTAAAAAATGATGAAACCTTGCTTTGTTTAGTATTAAAGATAAAAAATTAGGTAGAATAGACTGCACTAGAGGTAGTTTGAAGTTTAAAATGATGAGACCTTGCCTTCGTAAATGAATCAGTTATAATAAACTCAGTATAAAATATAAAAAAATTGAATTTAGAATTGACTTCACAAAAGGTAGTTTGAACAATAAAATTATGAGACCTTGCCCTGTTTTATGGAACAGTGATAACAATTTTAGTATAGAAAAAAACGAAATTGAATATAGAATAGATTGCACAAGGGGTAGTTTGAAATTTAAAATGATGATACCATGCCTCGATGTATGAATCAGCTATAATAAAATTTTGTAAAGAAAATAAGGAAATTGAATATAGAATTTTTGTTTTTTTGTCATAAGTATTGTATGCAGATTTTTAAACTTCTGATTGAATCTTCCTTCCTTAGGATGTTGCGTAACTTCGGTGGTCGGATTTTACAAGTAAGGAAATTGGCCAAAATTTGTTTATTTCAGATTGAACCACATAAATTACATTCGATTTAAACTCAATTGTTTCTTATTTACATTTATTTTTTCCATTCTCTAGAGAATGGAAAAAATATGACATTTAGAAACCTTTCTTTGAATTTTGATAAAAATCGTGAGATATCGAGCAAGAGCACCAAACCTGATATGGTGCCAAGATACATTACACAGACGAATGGTAAATTTATGCATATAAATGCCGGATATACATGAGGTGTGATGGATGACAGCTAGGAAGGAGAAATCGGAGAGCTGAGTTCAAATTCCAGTTAAGTTCATTACATTAACATATACGCAAATAACCTTGGCAAAGGTGAAAATCCATCTTTTCTCTCATAGCTTAAATACTATAGCAAATAAGAAAATTGAATGTAAACCGCACTAGAGGTAGATTAAATTGTAAAATGAAGCGACCTTGTCTCCTTCTGAGGATCAGTAATAACAAATTTAGTATAAAAAATAAGGAAATTGAATATAGAATTTTTTTTTTTGGCCATGATTGTCGTATGCAGACTTTTAAACTTCTGATAGACTCTTCCTGCCTATGGATGTTGCGTAACTACAGTGATCTGATTCTACAAGTAGTAAATTTGTTCATTTCAGATTGAACCACATAAACTACATTCGATTTAAACTCTATTGTTTCTTATTTATATTTATTCTCTAGGGACCGGATGTGAATTGAAGCAAAGTACAATTCTGGTTGTCATGGTTTCATTTCTTGCCTCTGCATTTCATCATTTCTGAAAAGGATTGTCCGCACACGGAAACATTTTGAATTTTTTGGGAGACACATATCAACTGGCTGAAGTATTCACCATGGCAGGTGTTTTTCAAAGTTTCCTGGACTTATGAAAACTTCCAGTGGTAATAAGATTTCATTTTGAAAATTCCTAGCACAAAATATTGATGAAAAGACTATGTGAATCGATTTAGAAATAGTCGAAGTAGTGGTTTGAGTTATAGATAAGATAATTTTTTATTATGGAATAAAGTTTACGAATCATTCATGTTTAATCTAAGTAAGTAAGGGGTATAGATAATTTTTTAAAAAAATTGTGAGTTTTTATTGAAATAAAGAAAACTACAAATTGATTTTTCCAGTTTTGTTTTTAATAAAAGAATCACTGAGCAAATGAACTGGATAATGTGCTATTGTTCAATTTAATAAAAAGAATTAAAATATCTTTTTCAGCTTTTATAAAAAAGAAAAAGAAAAAAGTTCACTTATATCACTCAATAAAATTTACAGACCATTAAAGATTTTAATTCAAAATTAAGGCATCGAAAAAAAAAACTTTACTCACCACTTGTATCTGCATCAGATATGTGTGTGTGCATCTATGCATATGTACGTGTGTGAAGAGTTCTGTATACGTGTGTTATGGGTTGTGTTTGTATTTCTGTATGTGTATGGGTATTGTGTGTATGCAAGTGTATATTTCGGGGAGGCTGTGCCTATATACTGCATGTGTTTATGGGTGTGATGGAGTTGTGTATTTTGTATGCGTATGTATATATGTGGGGGTTGTGTATGTGCCTGTTTGTGAAGGGTTGTGACTATGTGTTGTGCTGTGTACATTTCTGTGTGTATGCATATGTATGAATTTGGGGGATGTGTGTACACGTCTGTATAGTTATGAGGGAGTGTGTTTGTGTGATTATGTGTGGCTGTGTGTGTATGTGCATGCATGTGTGTGGAGGCTTGTGGTTTTATGGGTAAAATTAAAAAGGTATGCAATACAAGGATGTATCTTCACACCGGATTTATTCAACCTATACTGTGAGACAATTCTGAGAGAATTCGAAGTTCTACCAGGATTCATTGTTGGTGGTAACAATCTTAACAACATAAATTATACAGATGACACAGTGTTGATAGCAGACACAGTTAGAAAACTACAAAAACGCTTACAGAAACTAGTGAAGAAAAGCAAGAAGAAAGGACTAAACTGAAAGAAGACAGAATGCATCGTTGTTAGCAAAATGTTGAGCCATAAATGCAAATTACAAATTTGAGGTACCAAAATCAAACAAGTACAAAAATTTAAATATCTAGGAAGTGTTCTATCAGAGAACGGAATGGGCAATACTGAGATCCAAAGACGCATTGGGATAGCCAAAAAATGAATTCCAGGAGCTAAGCACAATATTAAAAGACAAACAGGATCTTTGTTTGAAACAAAGAAAACATTATCAAAAAAACGTTTTTATTGACACTGCTTTTATTTTAACTACCTTCACTTCTCGACAATGTTTTATAAGTGATGATTAGAATTGTAATAAAACTTAAACACAGGATGAAAGTAAGTTCATACTTTTTTGTTCTTGAGAATTTATAACAAAATTATTAAACACTATTATTAGATTGTTCATTTACAAGAATAATTCTATATTTAAACATCCTAAAACTCAATGCAATGCAATATTTATCATTTACCAATTTATAAAGAAATCATTGTTAAAATATGTGACCCATTTACAAAGAAATCCTTATTGATTACTATTTTATAAAACTTGAATCAATTGGCAACCATTCCAATAAGTAATATAATATATTGTGTAAAAAACAATCTACTAAATAGTTAGTGTTTATTATTATTGTTGTCAATTCTCAAGAAAATTTTAAAATTCACTTTCACATGTTTAGGTTTTATTACAATTCTAATCCTCGTTTTTTAAAACAACAAACATTGCCAATGAGTGAATATAGGTAAAATAATATCAATGATAATGGAGAAACTATCCTTTGTTACTCGATATTTTTATGGGCATGAAGATCCAGGTTTGACAAAAATTGAAGTAATGTTCAAATCATGAGTCAAAAGAAAAGACAAATTCTTCTATGCATGCAACAATATATTGAGACACTAGGATTTAATGGAGAATGACAAATGTTATCTAAACTTGAGTAATACACAAAAATATTGACCGTTTTGAAAATGACCAATTTAGAACTGTAATGTTCGATAATGACATTGTTGTAGAGTACGTTCACAGTGGAGGCTTGTATTTGTACTAAGTTGGTCCGAAAATAGGTTCGACGTACAAAACGTTAGGAACTTGATATAATAGGTAATGACGCAGAGAAATCTAGTCGTGATCGCTGATACTTTAATATCCGACTAACGGTCGTCCGACATCGACTGGCTGACCAACTCACTGAGCGACTGTTACCCTTCGTTACTATTACTACTCCTACTTATTATAGGTGGGAGAGTCTATTAACTAAAGAATAGGTGTGTTCCATTATAACAGACATCCATAACAAGGAAAGAATTGTTCACTACTATTAATTTAAAATTTTTACGCAAACATTTATCCGGCTACTTGATTAGTAGTACAACCATTTTTCATTCCAAGGCAAGCAAAATTTGTACAAAGACTTATAATTTTCTGTAGATTTATGGATTTTTATACTTGAAAATTTATTTAAAGTATAACTTAAAAAAGACAGATATACTGTCAAAATGTTGTTTAACATTGTCAAAACTATGTTTTTTCTTTATCTTTTCTTAAATCGCCCTCTTCCCTAAATCCCTAAAATTACCCTGAAAATCTGTGGGTCATCTTATACTACAATTCTAAAAAACAAACTAAGTGATGTTTGTCGGTGGGCTAACCTCAGTCTCGCTGCGATAACCAATGGCGTACATGAAAAGATTCATATTAGTAATTGAAATGATAATGAAAGTTTTAAAACCGTTTCTACATTAAATTATTACTGGCATAACTTCATAATAAATTGCCTATTCGAGGAATAATTCCATATCAATGAAATCAACTTGTATCCATTCAAGCTCATCTGAGAAAATGTATCGAGTAATGATTGCGTTCACAGGAATGCAATGTAATATTATCGTACATTTTTGTACTGTTATTAGCGATATTTTGTGATTGTCGATGAAGTATAAGTAAATGGCCATTAATACACCAGGCTGTTTGTAACGGTTTATATATAGGAAAAGAAGAAGAAGAAGAAGAAGAAGAAGAAGAAGAAGAAGAAGAAGCAGTATTCGCAAGAAATTACCTGATGAAAGGTAAACAAAACGATGGCCTCCCTTTTAAGGGAGGTGTGTAGAAGAAAGTATGATATAGGATCGGTTTTGTTATTTAGTTTATTTTGAATTTCTACGGATACCGTAAGTAATAACATTTCCAATAACAATGTCTTTATATAATCAATAAGCAGTAGTCTTATACTACAGGTATTGGATAAATATATATATATTTATCCAATACCTGTAGTGTTATATATATATATATATATATATATATATATATATAAATTTAGGAAAATTTGATACGCCTTATACGAGGAAATATACGGTAATAATAATAATAATAATAATAATAATATACTTTCTTCTTTCGTCGTGTTTTTATTTTCAACCGGGTGTTCTCCATCAAGTTGTACAATCATGAACAGATGATACCTCTCGCATAATATTTGCATTGCCAAGAAACGCAGACTTTTGAAACGATGGGATACTAGACTTTATTCCGATTTTCTCAATATAGGTGTTCAACTCTGGTGGTATAGACCCCAAAACTCCACTGATATCTGGAAAAATGGTGGTCTGAATATTCCAGATTCTAAAAATTTAAATCTGGGGCATCCTCATTGCTGTTGTTCCCAGGTTCGCCCTGACTCGCAGTGGTAGTACATGTTAGGGTACCATCTATGATCTGAACTCCCAAACAAAACTTATACACCATGAAAGTATAAAACATTGTTATAGTAAAAACTAGCCGAATTACCCGCATTTTGCTGCATCTCACATATTTTTTAGGAGAAAATGATGAATGATTTTAAATCATTTTTATAATTTTTGGAGAAAAATTGTGTATTTCAGTATTTATCAAAATCTTCCCGATGCGACCTCCATCTTCTGGTTTATATATTTTGGATAAAAATCATTCCCTTGTTCAAATTTTTAGAATTTTCAGTAGAAGGTTATACAAAAACAGCTTCATCTGTCCCCTTTTATATATATTTGATGCAATACTTAATTGAACAAATTGATGAGCAGATTTCAACATTTATAGGACAGTTGAATTGTCGCAAAAATATGTATTGTAAGTCACTACTCATTGATTGGTGATTTATTGCTCAATTTGACATCCATATTGTCTCATTTTGATCTTCCCGATGTGACCACCATATTTTGGCTTTCTACTTCTATATTTTGGATAAGAATCATTCCTTTGTTCAAATTTAAATTTAATTTAAATAAAAGGGAAAAAAATTAAGTGGGGTGGTGGATGTGACCACCGGAAACCTACTTTGGTTAAAATGAAATATACTTATCCAAGTACCAAAGAAATCATTCCTTTGATCAAATTTAAATTTAATTTATATCAAAGAAAAAAAGAAGTCAATGTGTGAGTGGTGGGGGCAAGTATCCTGGGTAATGTAATTTCAGAATATATATGGTTATAGGGGTCTATCTCCAAAACCCTAGGCATAGTTCGATAGCAAACAGATACACAGAGGCTACACTTTATATAGATAAATATCAGCAATATGTATTTGTAGTGAAAATACCAGCAATATATTTTTGTATTATATATACTAGTACATAGATGTGAAGACATTTCCTTGTTGTTGGTGGGGGTGTTGTTTTTCGTCATCTTCTTCTTCTTCTTCTTCTTCTTCTTCTTCTTCTTCTTCTTATTATTATTATTATTATTATTATTATTATTATTATTATTCCTTTGATTTCTGGTGTATATTCATTTCTTTC